TGATCTGTAAAGTTAGTAAAAAAGAAATATTTGAAAAATAAAACATGGATTCGAGAGGGTGGACAAGCATAAACACAATAATATTGTTCTCTTTAACACAAAACACACACCAATATACCTCCTACACACCCACCCACACACAAACAGTAAATCAGCAACCAAAAACGCATCAGCTATTTACTCACTCACAATTTTTCTGTCGTCGTTCTACTATTCCAACTCATGTCTTTGTCAATCAGCTTCGATAAAGTTCATCTGACAATTCACCCGCACACACATACACACACACACACACGCACACACACACACACACAACACACACACGTCTACCAACACGCATAAACACACCTACACACCTACTCCCACCACCACACAATCACAGTCAGTAATGAAAATCCACTATTTATGTACTCACCTACAATTTTCTTGTCGCCGTCCTGCTCTTCCTGATTACCTCTTTGGTAGAAAGCTCCAGTGAACCCTAGCAGGTAGGTAAAGTCGGGCACAAACTCACGGATCCTGCGTTGACTTTCTGCCATAGCCTAGGGTTTAAACAGTATATTCTGTGACTCTTTTGGTACGACCCAGTTCATCTTACGTTCCATTTTTTTTTTAAATTTATATACAGCCCTTGTAATCTTCCTTCATAGATTACATTTAATGAGATATATCTGTTTCAGTGTTAACCTTGGATGTTTGAACACGCAGTCTTCCTTCAGAGATGAAGTGCAATAGAAAATATGTGTTTCAGTGTTACACTCGGATGTTTCAGCATGCAATCTTTCTTCAGAAGTGAAGTTAAATAGGAAATATGTGTTTCAGTGTAAATTTTGATGTTTTAGAAAAGGACCAGGGGGTCTGACAGTTGCTCAGTACTCAAGGGAAAGGCGAGACTGGTATTCAAAATGTCTGTTGGTGGTGCCATTAGAATTGGAACTCTACGTTTCTGCTGCAGAATGGCATAGAGCGTTTATGACAGGGCTGTTCAACTAAGTTTTCTCAGGGCCAAAACTTTGAAAGAATTGGGATTGTAACAGGCCAAAGACCTGAGCTTCAGCGTAGAAAAATCATTAATAAAATAAAACTAGCAATGATTCGCTAGCCATTTACTAGGCTTCAGTGGGCCAAATTTGGCCCGCGGGCCGCCAGTTGAATCCCTTACTTATAGAAATGCCCATGTGCTGTGATGTCGATTCTTAAATAAACATTCCTTTGCTGTTAAAAATGTATGTTGTCTTGTCATTAGTTTTCTATTCAGTTTGTATTTAATTAATTCTCATCTGATAAAGGTTTTTGTAGAAACGTTGTGTGTGTGTTGTTTTTTTACACATCCTATCTATTACCTCAGTTTCGCTTTCTAGTCCCAGTTGTTTGAATTATTCAAATTCTTCGGCCCTAAAGTGTTTCTGCTTATCTCATTCAGACATAAATAGTTTCTTCGGTATAGCAAATGTATACTATGATATATGCAGTTAGTGATGAGGCCTGTGAGAGCTTCAATCCATCAGAATTGTTAGTAAATCGACATCAGAACTCAGATATACAGACGAAACTACTGTTCTTCTTTCTTAGAGTGTACGGAGTTAAGAATAAGTTATTTTGATAGTCAAAAACAGAGAAGGGAATCTGTTTTTGAATTGAAAAAAAAAAGTCAACCGTAAATATAGCATACTAACCACATATTAAAATCCATAATGGAAGAAATCGAAACTGTCATAGATGTTGAATACATGTATCTAATCTTAATAGTGGACAACAACGGTGACTGCACAAAATAATTCGGTAAAAGACTTGCTTCAGCAATGCAGAGACTAGACATTTTGAGATCAGGTAACGTTCCCGTTGCAACTCATACTCTTATCCTTTCAATAGGGAAGGGGTGGGAGTTGGAGAGGGGGGAAGGGGTGTTGGGAGGGGGGGGGTGGAATCGAAGTTTTTGAACTGAAAAATTACAGAAAAATTCACTGAAAACCACAGACAAGAAGTAAAAATCGACAAACTACGTAAAACAAATACCGAGGAAAACTGGCTCATGAACAGCATTATATCTCGGAAGCTGAGATAGTTTCGCCATGTCATGGTGACCTGGAAGAAAACGGTTATGGAGGGTACAATTTCTGGAAAACAATACAGAGGCCGACCTCCGAATAGATGGATTCAAGATATTGGTGATGCGCTGGCTATGAAAGCATCTAGGGCTAAAGAATTCGCAATGAGATAGAAAGACTTTCAGGTGTCTTGGCGAACTCTTTGGAAGACCTGTCATGAACAAGGAGTTAACATTGCAACCGCTTAGGAAATCTTGTTGTTCGATTTAAAACAAAAGTTTGTGTCGTCTTCGCAGTGTTCAGTGATTAGACGGGATTATCATCACAGCACTCCGGACAAATCTATGGGTGCTCCTGTCTCCTCCTCATAACCTCCAAAAGCGTAAAACGACTGATGACGCCTGACGGGACCAGCCATAGCAACTGCAGTGTCATCAAGATAGTTTGCACGCTCGTTCCCTTGAACACCCGCATGAAGGTTAGGGCAGATATTAGTGAAGTGTTTATTTGACTGATAAATCTAGCTTAAATTTTTTAAAGCCTTTTCATAGAGTCACTCAAAATGCATACGTGTGTGAACTTTTGAGTACCAAGCCATGCTAAAGCTATTGTTACAGCAATAGTTTCCATTGTAAGGCTACTAGTTGTAACAGCAAAGGCGCCATTCATTTTCTTGATGGTTTTCCCCCTTGAGGGTCATGTGAAGGCCCATGCACTTCGCTTGCCCCTAATTACTGACCCATCTGTGTAAACTATAGCATCAACTCAATCTGTGTTTTCGTCAATCAAGTGTTCTGACTAAAGAATCAACAATGCCAGGAATCTGGTCTCTACAGCTTCCATCAAGTGTGATATGGAATATGGAATATTATTGTTTGGAGAGGGAGGCATAATTATCCTTTCATTTCCGAAATTAATGTCAGTAAGGCGGCAAACATGTTCGATGGCAACACCAGCCCGACCCATCTAGGATTTGCTTCGTTTGAGTCTACTTTTTTTTTTTTTTTTGCTTGAATAATTCCTCATAAAGTGGGTGTCGATGGTTTTTCACTTTGAAGAAAGCAACAGCCCTGGATAGGTTGATTCTGTTTTCTATTGTAGGGATATCCAAGAGGTCTTCCCAGTGTTCACTACCAACAGTTTATCCACTGAAAACTCGAGAATGTTAGCTGGTGAGACCACAATTTCCTGTATGCTTTAACTCTCAAACCACTATCCGAATAAGTGATAATGTTTAGCAGAACTCTTTAGAAAAGGGAGTTAATATTGCAAGTGGTTGAGACTGAAATGTGTCGCATTTTCTGCACTAGTACACTTACACTGCGTGTCGATTGATTACTCAATGCATTCGTCACTCAGAGATGGTGGAAGGGCTAAGATGAGATGGGCCACAATAAACTTTCTTGTTGCGATACTTGAGGGGCCTAGCCTTGTTGATGTCAGTATAATAACAATATGCCGAATGACAAATGATTACACTAATATATTTGAAATAACATAAAATGTTTTTAAAAAAATCTGTTCACGTTTTTGGGCCCATCTACACACTTTCTCGTGTCAAGTTGTACTGCTTTCTTCGAAAAGAGTCTCGTGTGACCTAGGTTGAGGGGGGAAGGGGAAGGGGAAAGGGGGGGGGGGGGGTTGGGATAAGGCAGTTCTACATGTTTTGAAGTCGTTGAAAGGTGTATCGTCGTGTAGTATAGAACATGCGACATCGGCGCTCACGTAACTGGAGGGAAGACAACGTGACACCCCTCCGACGCAGAAGAGTCTGAGAAAGTATGAATGAAAGGTCAAATGGTGTGTAGATGGGAAAAGTTAACAGGACCCCCCCCCCCTCCCTCAATATATATATAAAGAAAGATAACGTCTTTGTACTGTTGGTGAAAAATTGGTGTTGGTTGTGGTGGTGGGGGAAAAAGGGAGGGGGGTGGTTGTCTATTTAGTATTTTCGTATATGTTAGAGGAGGGCGAGATTTGGAGTGCTCAGGACGCTCATGAAATTCTTTCTATAAAGTACAACTTTTGGTGGATTTTTCTCTCTAGTGTCCACGCCATGTGGCATTGCTTGTCATGTCTATCCGCAACCGTCTGTCTCATGTACTTTCAATCAGTTCTGACACAGATGATTTTCCATGCCATGATGTCAAACTGTCCAGCATCATTTCTCTCAGTTTCCTTCTTTATCTCTTGCCCTCTACTGGGTCAACTGTCACGACTGTCTCCAGTTTTCCAGTTTTCTCCTTCTCACGACACGACCGAAGAATGTAGATTGTCCCATTCTGATGTGGGTAATCAGTTTTCTTCGTGAGCCAGTTTCTTTCGAGACATATTTATTACTCGTTTTATCTGTCTAGGATATTCTTATTAGTCGTCTACACGATCACATCTCCGCAGCTTCCAAATTATTGTTTTACTTATCTACCCACTTTCCCTAATTTACTTCCTTCGATATGAATATGATTTATATAGCGTTTAGGACATTGTCCTACTCCTGTCAAATGACAAAGAACGAAAATGGGATAGAGAGTGTTGAATCATCTGGGACTTAATGAGCTCATGAACAATTTAAAAACCTTTAGAAATCCATGTCAAAGAACGCATACACACATACACACAAACGCACACACACATACACACAAACGCACACACACATACACACAAACGCACACACACATACACACAAACGCACACACACATACAGAAAAAATTAATTTGTCAGATGGAAATCTTTTTCTCCAGGGGACTTTTCAGGTTTTTCGTCCACGTATAGACTTTGGGACTGTTCCACAATTTGGCCTAATTGTATACTGAGTGTTGTTTTCTCTCCTCTCAGGCAGTTGCCTTAGACTTCGAAGGCAACACCCCTATTTAGTCGACTTTTACATGATGCTTCTAAAGGGACAATGAGGAACAAGCATTCTCTGACATATAACCAGCTTTGTTCAACGGATGCACCCAGAAAACTCAATTTCCGAAAGAAGATCAAAATATAAAAGGGGACAAACAATCAGAGTTTTCCGCCAGGGTTTACAACCAGTGAACACGAACAATAACAATAGGACGTCTCTAGTGTGTTTCTGTCTACCCTGTCTCTTCTTTTATCTTGTGTCTCTCACTCACGCTTACTTTCTCTGCTTCTCCATATTTTCCTCTCCACTGCCGTACTTTACTCACTCTTTATCGGACTCTCTCTTAGCCTCTCCTACTTCCTCTATTTTTCTGTGTTTACATCTCTCTCTCTCTCTCTCTCTCTCTCTCTCTCTCTCTCTATCCCTGTTTCTACCCCACCCTCCCTCCACGGTCATCTTGTATCGCTTGTCGTCTCAAATAGTGCATCTTTTCCCTAGAATTATTACAACTACTACGTTTTACTGTAGTTTAAAATGTGCACATTTCAGTGCTTGTATTAAATATTTTAATGCATTTACTTATAATATTACTTGATGTATGCATGAAATGATGTATGAAAGGAGTGAGACAAAAAGGGCACAATATTAACAACTCCAATAATGTGTGTGAGTGTTTGGCCGGGGGGGGGGGGGGGGGGGGGAGCTGTTGTGGTTTTTCTAGGCATTTTTACGTTCATTAGTTCGCCATTACCCTTAAACGGTCAGCTCTCGGTACCACTGTCGTAACCAACACAAGATAAATCGTCCGCAGCTGGGATCGAAACCAGCACCCTGGCATTGCGAAGCGTGTTCTCAATGCCTGAGTTAAAGACGCAGAATCAATATGCTAATATTTATAGGGCAGTTTGTCATGTTATAAAAGTCAATGTTAGTATAAATTGTGCCACCGTAAATTCACTTACAGCCCTATAACCAATCATAAGGCAGCGTGGGTTAAGACAAGGCAGTGTGAACAGATTGATTACACACGTACCTACCAATTAGTCGATTTCTGTTTCAAAATATTGTTTGTTTTTATATCTCTATTTCCTTCTATTTTCTTGCTTGATTCATTGGTAATATTATGCTCCTCTCCCGCTCGAAGGTCGTAGGTTCGAGTTCTGGCTGAACCTAGTTTTCTTCAAAAACGGCCATGGCTCCCAAGTCAACCCAGCCTTGTGTGGTCACCAAATGGAAGTAAAAGCAGCCGGCGTGATGTTGACCACATCACCCGCAAGTGCTGATTGTCTCTAAGATATATACCTAGCCCTATATGCCCAATACGTTTACATACCTGGAAAAGAGTCCTTTTATTTATCTCCTTATTTCCTCCTTTCCCCCTCCCCCCTCTCTCTGTCTCTCTTTCTCTCTCTCTCTCTCTCTCTATATATATATATATATATACTTATATATATATATATATATATATATATATATATATATATATATATATATATGTGTGTGAGTGTGTGTGTGTGTGTCTGTAAAATGATGCTATAAATAGGGATAACGTCAGGGTATGCCTGAGTGACAGAATTGGGGAAGTCCCTAGTTTGTGAGTCATGGGGAAATGGCTGGTTGAAAAAACTGGGAAAGTCCCTAGTATCACGGGTTTTAGTGGTAGATGATTAAAAGACAGAATTAAGCAATTCACTTGTGAGTGCGAGATCTGGGAGATTGAGAATGAGGTGGCCATTCTGTAACCTGAACCCAGATTGAAAGAAAGTGAAACTGAATCCAATGTGATAAGTATGAACGTTGCACTGGATGAGAATCGAATGAACTTTAGTCCTAGACGACAAGGAGTAAAGCGGTGTTGAATTACTGTTTAGGAAAGCAGTTGTGTTCCACGGACTATTAGTTATGCCAGTCGTGTACATGCAAGTTTCCGTCGTCTGAAGCGTGGCTGGAGACTAAGAACGTGAGCAAGGCGAGCTTGCCCGAATGGCGTACGTGAGTAGTTCTGCTGTTGATTCTTGTCGCTTGCGGTATTGATAATAAACCCGTGAAGTTCTGCCTGTTGTGTTAGACTGTCATTTAAAGACATGTGACAGTTGAAGAAAAGAGAAGTTTGGCTGCAATGAACTGTGACATACCACCTAGACAACAGAGCCAGTGTTGAATCTGCACAAGGGAGATTAAGTGCGGAGGACACACATTACAATATGTGTGTGTACGTGTGTGTATGTGTGTTTGTGTGTGATGTCATTTTTTTCTTTGGAACACACGAAAAAGGCCGAACATATCGTGCTGCATGGTATATTGAGTAGAGAAACATCATCCTTGTCCACAACTGATTGTGTTTCCTATGTCTCTCTGTAACACAATTAGCTCTTTCAGTCCTACAAGATCACGGCTTCACTCAATGAAAGAGCGAACACATTGGTCAGAAGCGGCATGGACATAATACAACTAAATAGTGACTTGACCCACCAAGAGACTAAGACATGGATACAATATAGTATCCAAGAAAGGTGCCTGGATACACACACCAGATTCTTTTATCAAGACTGGCTTCATAGCCTTTCTAGAGATGGACAATGTATTGTATTCAGACTAAGGACACGACACAGCAGACTTCGCCAACATATGTTCAAACATTTCGGTGTAGGAAACACGGAGACCTGTCCTTGTAACGTGGCCCAGAAAATGTTGACGATGTGCTCCAACACTGTCAACTGTGTGTTGCCAAAAGAGACACCATCTGGCCTGTTCCAACCACAATGAAGACACAACTGTGTGGTACACGATAAAATATGGACTGCATAGCTTTCATAAAGGCTATCGACCTCCCAATATGTTTTGTGACAGAAGGGTCTAAGAAGAAGAACACGATTTCACTGCTGATGACTGATTGAAGCAGTAAGGATGACAACAAAAGCATGGGTATGCTACATCCACTAGGTTCAAATGCACGGCATATTGTGGGCGACTTGTGTTGCAGCGTGCAAGGACATAAGCAAACTAATAGGCTTGCAGGTATGGCTACTGTTAAAAGCGGACGAGCCATTGACCATGCCGATATATTGAATACTCTACGAGAAATAAGACGGTTACGAGAACTACGTGAGGACCGTGAATCTGCAGCCAAGACCAGCAAGTTACAAGGGGTGTGGCCAGACAAGTGCACTGTTCAGGAAGCCAAAGATAAAAAAAAAAAAAGCTAATGCAGAACTAGTTTTGTCAGCAGCTATAGGCTTCTGGATTACTGAAGAAGGGATCCGGGCACTAACGGACTGAATGATTCGATGTGCAATGAGCATATTCCCCTGACTAACTAAATAACTAACTATGTTGTTAGGCTGATTTAATTTGCCCGAATAAAGTTAAGATGTAAAAATATTTAAACTATGCTAAGAGGTCATATAAGCACTATCGTGGTACGCTGTTTGGGAATAATAGCATTAAGCAAAAATGTATATGAAAATAAACGCATCCTGAAAAATAGAAAGATTGCTAACAAACTAATGAGCTGAGCGCTAGAGTATGTTTTTATATCCTAATATTTTTCTTTCTGTTGCTGCTTCTGTCTCTTCCCCTTTTAAAACAAACATTTTTTTTTTCTGTTAATTTCCATATTTGTCTCTATTTCCAGTCTATCCGTGATATATCTTCAGGTCTCATTCAAAGCCTCAATAGTCTAGTTAACCTTGCATGTCTGTCTTTGTCTCGCTGTCTGCATGTGTCTGTATGTCAGTGTGTGAGCTTATATGCATGCCTGTGTGTGATTTGCTTTTCTTTGTAACTATCCATGTTTGTTTATGAATCTAGATGCTTGACTTTGTTGCGTGTACCGGTGTAATTTATTTTCTGTCTTTGTCAGTGTCTGTACGTGTTCGTAATAATTTTGCAGAATGAAGAGGGAAAGGTAAAGAAGAAGCAGAAGAAGAAGAAAAAGAAGAAGAAAAACAAGAAGGAAAAAGAGTTTATAACAGTAGTAATAGTAGTAGTCGTAGTCGTAGCAGCAGTAGCAGTAGTAGTAGTAGTAGTGTCACATATCACTCCTGTCGCGTGCCTAATGTAAGGATTTCTCCTTCAGAACCAACAGCACTCAGAGATAATTATGTTGAGTCGTTTGGCTCGTATTGGTCTAAGGGATTCCCCGTGGCCAATATACGATCAACTTATCTCTGGAGTAGGGCAACTCAAGTATTGGCACTACAAAATATATCAGTATATAAATGAAATATTTCTAGGCACACTTGGCTGGACACCCCCACTACTTACTAAAGAAAGCCCCCAGGTTATGATAGTTCATTATCATAACCATGTTAACACATATAATGAAGATACATACACATACACTGCTAAACACTTAAGAAGGTGACATAGAGAAACCTAAGTCAGCCATGAAAATGAATGCATGTATTTAGTATAATATCTGTACAAAAAACAATTGAAGTGAATTCCAGCTATCAGTGAAAGAATCTCAGCAATAATGTCTAGATCCTAAGGAAGCTATGCAGACAGCCGGTCCTGGAGGTGACTATATGTCATCATAGGAATCAAGGAGCTGTGAGGAATAAAGCACATAAGGTATCAAACTGCACTTAGCCTCTTTCTGTCTATGATGCCTCCCTCAGCTCCTGATGATTCGACTGTCTTTGACTCTGGTGATTCTGCTCAACTGGATCAGGTAGTGAAAGAGTTCTTCATCATAGAGGACACAGCCACTGTACCGGTATTCAGCAAGTCTCTATCACCAGTAAGGACACACAATGTCTTTGAGCCACACTAAGCTCTAGCACTGGTAGCTGTTTGAGGTGCCATCTCCCATATG